CATGATTTTAATAAACACCTGCGGCAATAATATGGAATTTTTTCCGTCAGTGTATACATAGTACCTGCCGGATAATTAGCATTACTCGGCCTAATAAATCCGGATCTCCGGTTAAAAGTAATCTATTGGGGGGACACTTTAAAATCAGTTAACCAAGTGATTGACATATCGTATTGGCGCGTAATAACGCGCATCTGCGCGTTATTTCGGGACGCGCATGCGCTATATTTCGAATCATTCTGACAAATTTAAAGTCGGTCAATTCAATATATGATCTACTTATATAAAGGTGCTCGTTATTTCGGGACGCGCATGTGCATTAGTTCGAGTCAAAAATGCAATTTTCAAAAAAAGCGTGTTTCCGCATGTGCGTTCTTACGCGTCAATACGGTAAACATATCATGATGTCATTGTTTACCAGAATTAAATAGACTAGCCTAAACTATGCTCCTAAACTAACCTAACCTAACCCTTACCTAGGCCGAATGATAGTCATGTGATATTGTAATGATCACTAGGTTAATTCTTCTTAAATCTTCTCTTCTACTAGCCAGTAAATTTGAAAATAATTTCGAATATCGATAACGAACAGAAAGTTTAGGTAAAAAAAAAAGACAAAAATATTAATGTGGGTTTCTTGACTAGGCAATTACAAGATCTTATATGTAAATGGATGATATACTTGAGAATTAGAATTTGACAAGTAATTTTTGGAATTGACTTTTTAAGTGGAAAATGAAAATTTTAAAGGAATTTTCCAGATTTTTAGCGAATTAGCGATCATCTACTGATCTGAAAAGCGCGATAATTGGATCTTTTGATGAATACCATTTTTTTTTTTTTTTTGACAAAAAACTGATAATTATTGAGTTATATTATCTTTAAATTCAAATATTTCTTTTGAAATTCATATAAAATGACAAAATCTCTTGAAAATGCAATTCTTCCTAGTCCTAATAAATTTATAAAAAAGCTAGCAATTGCTAATTTACGATCAAAATATAAATATCTCATATTTCTCAGCTTAACTATTCTTTTAACAATTTTGATATATCTATATAAAATATTAAAAGAATTTAATAAAGCAGTATTATATAAACATAAAAAATCATGAACAGTTTTATATTCTATGAAATATTACCATTATAAGTAAAATTGTATTTTTGAGTTGTATATCTTTTATCTTTTTCATAATTATCAGCATAATCACTATTAGAGTCTTCAAATGAATGTTGGGCTATCTATATTATTATAAATTATTCTTCACATCACTAAAGAATTGCAATATTTTTAAGTAAATTATTAATACCTTTATATTGTTATTAAAGATTTGCTTTCGCCCTTTCCTTATATGCCAAAGCTTAGAAATTTTTTTTTTGATTTTTTTCAAGTATACGTTTATGTAAAGGCAAATCGAAAGCACACGCTGGCAGACCACCATTATATATTGATTCTTCAAAACTATACGTAAAAAGTTGTATGAAAAACTTATTGTTATAGTTACTTCATTGAGAAATTTATCGTTAAAATCCTGTGAATTTTTCAAAACTTTCAAAACGACATTCAAATTTGGAAGTTTCTGTTTGTTAATAGTTTTATTTTTTGATTTGAATGGTTTCCATATACCTAAATATATTTTTGAACATCCACCCTGTTCGAGTGGTTTTATATACTCAATATTAAAAATTGGTATCCATTCAATAAAACCATCACAACTTAATGATTCCTTCTTTGTTTTTTTAATAAGTGCGTCAATATCTTTATTTCCACTCCATTTTTTTTACTATATTTTGCAAATAACTTTAATCTGCAAAATTCTATGGGAAATCCAATAACTTTCCGTTCACAATGTTTACAAAATGAAGGGGTTTGTTGTGAAAGGAAGGGATTAGTAGTCATTATGTGAAATCTCAGAGTTCATACGTGCTTAATTAAGTTAATCAGTTCATTTCATTCTTAATAATTCATTGAGAGTTGGTAATACGTAAATATAACTATTTTTGGTACTTTATTTATATAACTACGCAGAGCTAAAAAGGGAGGACTGTACATTTAATATCACGGATGATCATGAAATCGGATGATGGTGAAATTTTTACCTAATTTAATATGAAATTTTAGAATTTTTTAGAGTTATTATCTTAGCTTTTTTTTTTAGTGATAGAATAGAATTTAGGATTAGAGTTGCTTAGCAAAGAGTATAAGTAGATTTCAGTAGGGTCTATATTTTCAAAAGGAGACCCCAAATTTCACCATCTTCTGATTTCACGATCATCCGCGGCATTTAATAACTTATTGCATTGCAAATAACTATTTAACGCCCTTTCATTTTTCTTTGTCAGAATTATAGTTGGTGGTAGAATTAATTTTGAAAATTATCGAATTATGGCACATGCCGTATTTTTTGCCGTAATTGCCGTAATTATAAATACGGAACCAAAATTAAGCGTA